ATTCACTCAGGTTCGAACAGGTTCAGGTTTAGGGATCAGTCACGTCATCACGTGGTCCCCGACATGGCATATATAGAGAGCATTAATGCCCACCCACTCTTCCAGCTGCATTGGCTCCAGAAGCATCTCTCCTTTTTTCCAATAGGATTTTTAAAAATCATAAAAAGTTATATAAACCATGAACCAAACCAACCAGCTACGAGAGGATCAAAACATTACAAACTGTGACTGGTAGCAGAAAAATATTTGAAAATCAGAGAAAAAGTACAAGACTGCATGCTGAACGGCTTTAATGCAGGAAAGAAACAATCCCATTAAGCATTGTGAATAACAACTGAATTAAAAAGAGAAATATATTGATTTAAACACTTGATTATCCATATGTAAACAATAAATGTTATATTCACTGCAAATGCAGCAAGTTATAAATTACTATATATAAACTGCATATCTTGCAGTGAACGTAATGTATTGTTTCTATTATGTATAATCAAGTGTTTAAATCAATAGTTTTATATATAAAATATGATATGACTTTATATGAAAGCGTAGGGAAGTTGGCTATCATTCGCAGTGTTTTTCAAAAATGGCCATGCGCTAAAATCAGCTATTTTCGAAGGCTTGATTGTGTTTATGGGGTGCAGTGTAAAATGTGTTCATGCTTTGTTAAAAAAAAAAAATTAAACATTTTCACATATTTTACCTTTATTCTACAACGCTGTTTCTGTTCTCCTAAAAACGGTCTGTTGATTTCCTGCAATACGCAATGGGCTCGGATTGGTTAGCTGGCCCAGTGTGTTGGGATTCGCGAACTGCCTAGTGCACGTTGTCTGGAAATGTCACACCCCCTTACCATTATGGGTAGTTGCGTGTTCCCGGGGTCGGGGTTTATGTAAATTTTAGGGTTAGTGATGTCACAAACCCAGGAAAAAGCTTGTTGTAGTCCCTACCAGCTAGCGATGGGCGATATCTTATAGTTTGCGATGTACCGGTAAAAAATCTCCCCACGATAAGAATTAGTCTTCCCGCGATAATAACGATAAAGTCTAGTTGTTGACATATTTCTGTGTGTGACTGCGGAGCGACATTGAGGAAGGCGGACGTGAAATTGAGGAGTAGCAGCCTATATCGCTAAATGAGGAGCTCAAGCTCCTTTTACAATCTGTAACTGGTTTGGTTAGGGCTGTACAGTGCACAAAAAAATCGGTCTGAATAAATGTACTACAGTAGCACCTGTGCGATACAGTTTTGCATGTGTATTAGCCGTTTACAAACCTGTTGTCCAACAAAGATATAACGTCAGTATTACTTCTATGGATATGTGGAGTTTCTGTGCAAGATCGCCCTCTGGCTTCCAGTATGAATTAAACAGTCTTTACATTACGCGTGTACTCATTAATGCTCACAACACCCTATTTTGGGTAAAAATAGGAAGGATAATACTTTTCTCTAAAGAAACAGGATACCCTGAATTATCGTCATCGCAATAAATACCAGAAATATCGTGATATATTTTAAAGCCCATATCGTCCATCCCTACTACCAGCCTTTTTTTGTAGTCCCTAAACAGCGATTTCTTTAAAAGAAAATATCTCCCTTTGCATTGTTTATGCTTTAACAGCAACGAACTAACAAAAGTTAAAAGTGAAATCAATCAACCACCCCTTTAAAATATTAGTTGAAAAATGTGGCTTCAACAAAAGCATATAACCATTAACTAACAACTCTGTAGCTCACAGTTGATCTGTCTTTAAAGTTTTATAAGTTAATCGCTAAAAATTAATTTATAAAATTAGTAAAATTAAATAAATTTCCCTTAAGAAAATGAACAGGATTGTGAGTTCCAGAACCTGTTGCACACTAGAACAACTCCAAAAAGCCCAATAAGCCCATTACATTTTCTTTTCAAATATCAAGTGTTATTAATAAGACCAATTATTGTAATTTCATGTGTCCCAGTTTAGCTTGTTTCTGATTTGATTTAGTTCATTAAACGGAGTTCAAAATAAAATGTTCATTTATGTTACACGTTTGGTTCTCGGTTCAATGAGTCAGTGAGTTTATGACTCGAAAACCACTCTAAACGATTCGTGAATGAATCGTACAGACCGGTTCAATCGATTCACTAGCAACAAGATCCGACTCAAATGATCGAATCGCTAACGAATCAGAATCGCTACTACACTAAACTGTTGGGTTCCACAAGCGACCCAACCCACACAGACCAGGACACCCCGGCTAACGTGCTAAAGCTAACCCCCGGCCGGCCCAACACGTCAAAAAAGGCCCTCTGACACTTCATCACACACAGAAGGCCACAGAAAGACAGCGCAACATTATAACGCCCCATCCCGACCGCAAGCAAGCGAACGCTGCTGCTGTAATAAATCAAGCTCATCTCACCCGTCAACCCCTGGGTTATATTTCCTCGTCTTCCACGGCGTGCCGGAGTTGTCATAATTGCCGTTAGTCCAGTTGGAGAGCAAGTAGTTTATCCCATAGGTGCTGGCTTTATTATCGCTTTTCCTCCGGCCCGGATGATGGTGGTGGTGATGGTGGCTGTGAACCGCTGCCGGATGGGACGGGTGGCGCTTCATGCAACTCTGCTGCTGCTCTTGATGGAAATGCCGTAGATGAGGATGAGGAGGGTGATGATGGTGGTTGACATTATTCAGCACGCTCTCGCTGCAAATAAAAAACGGATGGCCCTTGTTCATATTCCCAGCGATCATATTAGGGCTTGTAGTCCTTATTTTAGAGCAGCTGGACGCGGGATCCGCCACCAAGCCGGTCTTTTGGGTAATTTCGCCGTCTCCCGTGTTTCCATTTAACGCGTGAGCCGCAGAGCCGCTGCTTTTAATGTTAGTGCTGTTATTCGCATTGGACGCGACAGTCTTATAAACGTCAAACGCCGGAGAATTGACACAGAGGTTGTTGTGGTGATGGTGGTTCTGGTGCTGACCGGTGTTAGTCCGGTTTACCCGAGACGTCTCCCACACACGCATCCATAAAGCGTTCGCAGGACCTTTCTGTTCCGGCTGAATCCAAGCGACCCTCGGATCCATTCAACTCGTCTTTCTAACAGCGCTGTCAAACAAACGAACGCCTTTCCCCCGTTCAGCGGAGAAGTTTGAGTCCGGACCGCGAGAACGTGCCTGTAAACGGGGCTACGCGAAACGACAGGGAAAATAACGACGTGCCGAACGCCACAACCAACGGGAATCAATCAGTGGCCCTTTTCCCCCGCTAGCAATAAACTGTTAGCTAAACTATACAGTGTTTCCAATATGGCGTATTCCCTTGAACCCCGAAATCCAGTACGCATGTGTAGGATTTAAACCATCGAGGCAGCACACACCCCCGAGCAGCAACCCCACCCTTCTAAACGGCTTCAAGGCGAGGAGGACACTTTTGAATTTAAAACCCAGCCTAAAACCAGTCTACACCGCGAGCGACGCGGCGCGATTAAAACCCGCGACGCGCGCGAACTGAAAGCAGTTTATGATTACAATGGCCGTGTGTGCAATTATAGCGCATTGATGCATCTAGATTATTTTTTTTAATTCAGTTTTTTTTATGATTTTCTTTTTTTATTAGATTTTCAAAACACCAGCACAAAAATAAACCACAACAAACAAACAAGGAACAGATACGGTCAGCACTGCTTATAAATATTGCAAGTGTCCACATGAAATACCATATAGAGTTTACTAAATACAAATATATATGTAGCTATAGCCTATTTGTGTGTGTGTGTGTGTGTGTGTGTACCCTCTTGAGACCCAGAAAAGAAAGTTTTGCGAATTTATATATTTTTTTCATGTCATTACATTGTTTAGAGCATAAGAAAAAAATAAAATAATAAAAATGACAATTTTGAAAAATGATATTTTATTCATATGTTATGCTATGTCCTCTGTAGAGGACACCAGGACTCAATAAAATAATAATAATAATAAAAAGACATGAATGAACATGAATAGGCAAAAACAATAAATCATCAATACATTTTTAAGTTTCAGGATTTTTTTATACCAAACTTTGTATAAAGATGATTCTCAACCATGAAAGATATAACAGGATGATATGATATACCATTTTGCTGTGTGTGTGTGTGTGTGTGTGTGTGTGTGTGTAAAATGGCCATGAGGGCTTTCTCATTATCCAATGTATATACTGTATCCAATTTGCATATTAATGTGTTCTTGGACAACATGCAGTGAAAAAAGAAGTGTTATTATGGGAGTAATAATTGGCAAGATTTTCATAATAATATCTACTATTTCATGGGAATATTGATATATAATAATATATAAAGTGTCCCCCAAAATGCTTTTAGTCCTGGTGTCCTCTACAGTGGACATGAAATCGATGTCCTGTTTCGTAACAGAAAGTCATATTCTCATTTGAAACCCCATAACATTTTCCTGAGATGTTGATTTATGACAAACAGATTAAAAATGAGTCAGATTTAAATGTTAATTACAAAATGTTATCATATTTCCATAAGGGTGTTAAATTTGATCACTAAATTAATGTCAGTCATTTTTAAAGACCAAGGAGAGGGAGTGGTCATGATGAAACTTCCAAACAGTTGATATCTTGGAAAATGTGCTCTGTACAGGACATCCAGACTAAAACTGTGACATGTAGGTTCTCAGAGAAATTCACTAAAATATAATGTCTTCTATTGAGGACAGAAGTCTATTCCTGGGTCTCAGGAGGATACACACATACATAGGCTATAGGCCTATTACTTTGTTAAATATTGTGAAAAGCCAAACAATAATTTGGCATCTAAAATATTTAAAGCATTTAGTTATTTGAGGATAAAAGTAATATAAAATATGCTTTTGTGGTTTTTAACCTGTTACTCCAGGGTCACCTAAGTCAGTAATCAAAGGTCTCCCTACTAATCCTAGTTTTTTCTCTTGTACAGTACATCTGCTGAATTTCTTTAAATAATTAAGTAAATAAATAAAAAATAATTAAAATAATCATTATTCATTTTATGACGAATCTCCATTTTTAAATACATTCTTACATAAAAAAATAAATAAAATGTGTACAAAAAATGCTACATATGTAACAAAGCTGTTTTCTTGATGGCGCACAGATGCAGAATGTGTTAGACAATCAAACAAGCAGAAATCTGCTGACAATGGTTAGCGGTTTGCCAAAAAAGGCCCAAATCAACCTTTTGATGCTGAACACAGTACACAAATACTCAAAGAAACCGAAACTGAAAGCAATGTTGATTGTACTATGAAAAGTGTGCAGCAATTTAAAGGAAGTAAAACAAATTCATGATCCAATTTGAAAGCAATTAATTTTCGCAAATAATGAAAAAAAAAAAAACTTAATTCAAAAAACCTTATCAGCAGGCAGCAAAAGAGTCACTTTTTCTCATGAAAATAAGGGAACCCTGATGGTTCGAGGAAAGAACAGGCATTCTCTGTTGATGATCATAAATCATAATCTGACATGATGAAGAAGAAAGCAGTGATAAATTCCTCCCACTGTGATTACGCAACGAGTGCTCTGCCTTCAGCGCACGTGCAGCATGTGTAAGGTGGGGGAAGCCCGGCAAGGTCAGAACAGAACACACATCTGGTGTGCTCACTGTTAGTGTGCACTGCTGTCACACTACATGCAGAGAAGGTTAATCCATACAGCGGACTGTCAGTGCTGCTAGTCTGGAATGTTAAGTCTTTTGCATGCTTCTACATCACTCAAAGCCTTAAGCCCGTGTGAGGGGGTTGGAAAAGGTTATATGTATGCATGTGTGCAATGTGGTTTGCAGGGTATTTCATCATTGCTTTGCCTGAGGCTGGAGTTAATTCTATAAAGAACGGCCGGACAGATTTCTCACTGCCCGACATGACACCGCCAACAGCTCCAAGATTGACCACGAACATCTGAGGGGAATCAACTAGAAGGATTTTTTGAACTTCAATGTCAATAAATTAAAGAATTTTGGAAGGATGAAGACTGGAGTAATGATGCTGAAAATTCAGCTTTGCATCACAGGAATAAATTACATTTGAAAATATATTAAAATAGAAAACAGTTCTTTTAAATTGTAATAATATTTCATATTTTTACTGTATTTCTGATCAAATAATTGACATAAGAGACTTCTTTCAAAAACATATATATATTCCAAACTTTTGGCCTACAGTGTATAGGTGTGTAAGGCAGTGTAAGGCATATGATTAAAACACACACTCACACACACACACACACACATCTGGTTTGCTATCCTTGTGGGGACTCTCCATAGGCGTAATGGTTTGTCTACTTTACAGACAGTATTTTCTATTGTCCTACACCAACCCTACACCTAAACCTACCCCTTACAGGAAACTTTCTGCATTTTTAGATTTTCAAAAAACTTCATTCTGTGAGATTTATTAGCTTGTTTACCCGCGGGGACCTCAATTTAGGACATGAGTCCCCACAAGTCTGTGTGTATTCAGGTTTAAGTCCCCACCAGAATAGAAAAACAGGTACACACACACACACACACACAAAAGCTGAACTAATAAAAACATGGAAAAAAATACAGTTTCCCAGCTGAATAAAAAAAAAAGTATAGTATTAAACTACAGACAACGGGATGTTTATAAGCAATTCATATGACCTTCCACATTCCAGAGTAAACGAACTTGACCACTTTCACTGCTGACACTGCTGACATACAACACATAACTCTTGCCATACTTCATACATTACGCCTGAAGGTATTATGAGAGCCCACCTGCTGCATGTCAAAACATGTCAGCGATGGTATATGATGACGTTACAAACATAACTTATATACAAAAAAAGCTGTAGCTATTTGGATTGAGTTGAAATTGTGACTATGTTGTTGTACACTGAATGTAGAAAAGACAGTATTATGATAATACCACCATGATGTGCATGATCTCTACATACAGTATGTATCTTACAATTAAGTATAAAAGCAAAACAAAACAAATTTGACATATAAATAACTATAGCTGTCCTTTTAAGGCAAGGTATGCAGTTATTTTTTTTTTGTGAGCAGCACTCGCTCTTGGGATACTTCTGGTTATTGATCTTAAATACTTCATTTTGACAGCTTCGTGTACTGACCCTACTGCATATCATCCCTGCCATCTGTTGACTGAAAGATCTTGGTAAACGTCGGGGGAAAAGTGCATTTAGTTGTGCATTTGTTAAGAAGGAATCAACCTGAGGCTTTATGGAAATGTCAAATTATGACATCCAATAATAAATCCATTTACTGCTATGACAACATAATTTACACAATGTGCCCCTGTTGAAATTCATCCAATTTAATTTCTTAAACCTTCTAAGCAGTCCACTTTTGGGGGTTAAAGATTGACACATACATCAGTAAACATAATACGAATTTTAAATTGAAATCTCCTTTCGTAACATTTAAACACATTTTATTTCACATTTTATCATGAACAGCAGAGCCTTTTGTTAACCAGGAATATCTTGCATTTTTTCAGTTTTCAGTCCAAACTGACAGCATGGCAAATTCACCATGAACGGCTGAACATTTTGGATCAGATGTGTGTATAACATGATTAATGGTTCTGCTGTCACACTTGCAGTACATGGATAAAAGTTTTCACTCTTCAACAGATAAATCATGTGTTTGACTCGGATAGCCTCGTATCCAGCACGATCAGAATGTCCATATTTTGCGGACACATTGTTACTGTCTTGAAGAAGAGATGGTTAATAGGGAACGTCTGGATTATGGCAGCAGCTGTCTGCCATGTGTATCTCATCTCCTCTGAGACACTGTATGATCTCTCATAGTAATGCTGTTTTTGCACTTCATAAATGTGCGTGCTGTTGTATAATAGAAATAAATTATTTGTCTTGTAGAATTGAGTTATTTTTATTGTGTAGTGCTCAATGCATTTCTTCCCAGTCTCTGTACATTTTGATAGCACTTCCCTTGAAAACTATACAATATGAATTAACAGAAATATATTTTATATTCATAAAAATATTTGTTGTGCAATCATAATGGGCTCAAGATGATAATATTGTTTCTGTGGGAGTGTGGCGGCTGGGCTTACCACATGATCAGAGCACAAGCGGTATTAAAGCTTTCCTTGATTTTGGATAGTCTTCAAATTTTGTGAGATACCACCTGTAAAATGAAATGACACAGATACTGATCATCATACAACTAAAATATTTATGGGTAAATCAGTCAAGAACATGCCAAGTCATCTTTCACTCTAAAAAGAAGAAGAAGAAAAAAAAAGAAATAATTTAAAAGTAAAATTTTTATAAATTAAATAAAAATTATTTAAGGGGTTAAATATTTATATAGTTGTTGAAATCAGTGTTATTTTAGTATCACTGAGATAATATTATAGTATGTATTAATATTTTGCATTAGCTTTTATTTTTATATTTTGTTTTTA